GCATTTATGGGTTATTCCAGCCATGTTGTGATGCCTTTAGGGTTTAGGGTAAACTCCTAAAATAATAAAAATCATGATTTGAAAGTAGAATATTAGAATTTTGTCAAATTCCAAGCATTCTTTACATATTAAATGATTATTATATAAATTATTTATATTTGATTTAAATATTTATATAATATTATTAAAAAATTAATTAATATAATAATTATAATTAATTAATAAATATTTAAAATAATTATTATAAATATTAAATTATTAAATTAAATAATTATTATTAAATTAAATATAACCGTTTTAAAAGATATTTTAATATTAAATAATATTAATTAATTTTTAAATATATAAATTTTATTTATATATTAAATAATTTTTATATAACTTATTTATAATTAATTTAAATTTTTATATAATATTATTAAAAATTATTTAATTCAAAAATGATGTTGCACTTCAAAACATACATTCTCAACATGTCAGTCCTTTTCGGGGCCTCTGAGCTAGCTCGTTAGTAGGTATAATCTTGTAGCACATATAACATTGCGCGATACAAAAATATGAGATGGCAAAAAGTTACTCAGTATGATATGTAATTAAATGTTGTGACACGTCATTTAATTTTTTGGGTCAATATGTCATGCATTTATGAGTTATTCGAGTCATGTTGTGATGCCCTCAACTCCTAAAATAATAAAAATCATGATTTGAAAGTAGAATATTAGAATTTTGTCAAATTCCAAGCATTCTCCGGCTTGTTGCTCAAACAATAATGTATAGTCCAATATTTCGGTTTTAAAAAAAGAGTTGTATGTCAAACAATAGACATAACTATTGAGTAGGGTTATTTTCTGAAACTCAATAGTCTCCGAACAAACCTGTTATGAGGTCTTATGTAGGACATATAATATTGCGTTATACAAAAATATGGGGCTCCAAAAAGTGGTGCCGCAAGATACAGTTTATGTTGTCACATGTCATATCATTTTTTTACAAATTTTGGGCCATTGCATCATACATTTATGCATTATTTCAGCCACGTCAAAATATCTAAAATCTCTAAATCATAAAACTAATAATTTGAGGGCCAAACTAATGGAATTCAACCAAATTCCAATTGGTTGTTAGCACCTTCCTTGAGATAATGTAGTCTACCATTTCATTTAAAAAAATAGGATTGCTGCAATGTAAAAAAATGGACAATCGAGTCATTTTTTGGGCCTCTATAGCCTCCAAACTGGTCTATTATGAGGTATAAATGATAATATGAGAAACAAAGATATTTGGTGCTAAAAAATGGTGCAACACAATATATTTTATGATGTTATGATACATCGTATCATTTTTTGATATTTTTTTGGGTCATTTCATCATGCATATATCCATTACTTCAACCATGTCAAAATGATGGAAAACTGAATAAAAATCATGATTTGAGAGTAAAGATGATGAATTTTGATCAAATTTCAAATGAGCGCCAATGCACTGCCTGGCAATGATGAGTTCATCATTTCAATTCAAAAAATAATGTTACTAATTAAACAACATACACCATCAACCCGTCTCTTTTTTTGGGTTTCTGCAACCTTCGAGCAGGTTTGTTATGAGATATAAATTCAGATGACATAATATTGTGCGATACAAGAAACATGCAGCTATGCACTATTTTTCATCAATTTTGGGGTCATTAAGAAAAAAAAGTGGTGCATTATTTTTCATCAATTTTGGAGTCATTAAGTCTTGCATTTATGCACTATTTCAATCTTATCAAATTAAATAATATTAAATTATTAAATTAAATAATTATTATTAAAGATGCCCAAAAAATACAAAAATCATAAGCTATGATTTGAGGGCCAAGATGATAAAATTTAGCCACATTCAAAGTGACGATGCACCGCACAGCAGTGATTTATAGTTTATTGTTGCGGTTCAAAAAATTAAATTACAGGTAAAAAATAAATATCATCACGTTGAGTTGTTTTCAAAGCCCATTAGGTGTTCATCAAAACATGCTCATGATGTTACCCATCATCCTGTAACTACTTGTCTAACCGTCACACAAGCAGATTTAAGTGGCTGAATAAAATTCAACATTAAAAATATAATTGCCTCAAAAGGTATTCCCCGGACTCTACCTCATGTTGTTTAGAAAATATAGTTTTTTGGATTATAGTCAATGATTATTCTAAATTTCACCTATTATAAATAAAATTGACCAACATGCATCCTAATCTTCAATAATTGGCGACATCCTTCAACTCATTCTCCCTTTGGGTATGCTCAAGTATCCTGCAACTTCTGAGATCAAAGTTTTCTGCCAACTCTTCATACTAGTTAGAAATTCATTAACATGGAGCTATGAAAATTTTAGAGAATTAGCCTATGTGATACAGAATATTATACAAAATTATCGGAGTCATGAAAATAAATACTGATGTACAACAGATGTATGAACTGAAACTAACAGATGACATGCTTTACTGGATAGAGGAATAATATCAACATTCAACTTATGGTTACTTCAAACGTTTTGGAGGGACTCCAAATAATTAAATATATATAATACTATGATGTTAGTTATATTGTCCTACAGAATAATATTATTTTTGGTGTAATCGTATAAATGCTTCAGCAGGCATAGTTCTAGTGAAACAAGGGAAGGATGCCCCACTGGTGCAAGAAGCCTTGACCTGTAGTTACTTCAAGAACCAATAAACCAAGCACAGCTATCATGGCTGCCCTGCCATTCCATGTCTCTGCGCTTCTGGTCCATCCCCATTCCCAAACTAGGACTGGTGGAGGAAGTTTTTCACGCTTCGTGTCATATGTTGCCAGTAACTCTTCTACGCTCCCAAGGGGCACCAATGACTGCAAGATATCAGCATATTATTAAATCTTTTTGAGGAAATGACTGATTCAATCCAAGTTTTGGTGAATACAAGCCATTGGTACCTGACGAGCCTCAAGATTGGAGACTGCCATTGCCCCAACGTAAGGAAGGCTTTCTATTACTGCATCAGCAAGATCAGCAATGAAGGTAGGTTCACATCCTAATGCGGGAACTCGTCCCCAGTTCCTAATCCCAGACTTCATAGCCAGTTCCTTATACTCCACATCAATTTCTTCAAGTGTTTCAATGTGCTCGCTTACAAAGCTGAAAAAATATAAAGTTCTTTTAGAAAAATATGAAAAATCAAAGCCAAGAAAAACTATAAATAAAAATCATGGGTACCTTATAGGGACAGCCAAAAGGCTTTTTACTCCTTTCCGTCCAAGCTCAGAAATAGTCTCATCAGTGTAGGGCCTCAACCATTCCACGGGTCCAACACGACTCTGTATTCCACTAAAGAATTTAAGCAAAATAAAAGGATGTTTGAATGGATACCTTTCGTTTTGCACGTTTTACTTCCACAAAATAAATCTATTGTTGTTAATTCAAGGCAAACTCCCATTTCCCGTCCTGAAATTCTTTTAATCAGCCATGAATTAAAGAGAAATAAATTCGCAAAGCCACAAAGAATCTAGAAAATATGCTTAAAAAAAAACCAGAAAGAAATGGAGCCAGAGTTAGAATGTTATTTTGTCTCTCCAAGCATTAAGGTAGTAAGCAAAATGTTATACTTCAAGCACAAACACTATCTGATAGCTCAGACTAGAAGATAAGAAGAATGCAATTATATTTAATGTCTAATAAATATGATTAAAATGGCACGAGAACAATGAATTTGAGGGTTCATGCTCCCCAAAAAAAATTATCATCAGACATATAAGGGCCCTTTTCTAGGAAAGGTGACTCATCATTGATGAATGGCAACTACAAAAGGCCAAATGAGAAATTGCAAAGCAGAAAACTGTTGAGTACACTCGTATTATATCTTACTAGTAAAAGAAAAAAAATGTGATCTAAAATGATGATTTTCTTAGGTGTTTCCTACAGGTTCATCAATCCATAGCAACCTTCAAGATTATTTCAAAGTCAATCAACATTGAGCATTCATTAGAATGATCATTAAACATGCCAAGAGTATTTGCCACTTGGAGATGGACATTAGTGGTGAAATGATATGAAAATTTAAGTTGATATCCTATCAACATCAAACTCCATAATTATAAGCATTGTTAGTGTTCTTAAGTTGTTCTTACCATTAATGTATTGATTATCCTCATCACCAAAACTTCAAAGTAAAACACAAATTTTAAACTGGTCTAACCCACTAACATTATTTTACGAGTCTTTGAAAGTAAGGGTGCAGTTCAATCCAATTTGGACGTCATATTTTTTTTTAACTAACATCACTATTAAGGTTCCTAAAAATCATCAAAAAATCACTAATTTGCGTGCAAAATTCTTAAAAAAATTTTGGGTGTGCTTTCAACTTTTTTTACGGTTGGAAGAATTTTTAAAATACTTTTCATTGAATAATAATAAATATTAGATACTCCATTTCCATATTATCATTTCAAGTCGAAATCACCTTTTTTTTAAGATTTGTGGCAGTTTTATACTGAAATATTTCGAAGTTATCAAATTTCTTCAAATTTCTGTTTAGTAAACTGCGGAAAACTCTATTTATATGCTAAAATTACTGAATCAACCAAAAATCAGCAGCTATTCATTTCAGTTAATTTCTTTAAAACCCATTAACCGCTGCTACCTATTCCCTAACGCGAACAGACATTTATTAGCAGCACATTCTACAACCATATCAATGTAAACTAATTATATATGTTGATATGTAATTCTATCAGTAATACTTCCTAAGCATTCAATTTAAAACAAGTTTTTCCATTTGTAGAGAGGTTCTTGATAGAATCCTAAAAAAACTATGTAAGAAACCACATTATAAGCATAAACAACCGCACAGTAAAGCTCAAAAGGCTCTCCATCTTAGCATATCCATGAATGAATTAATGATGATTGAAAGAGGAGCAATTTGAATTTTATGATTTGGAGTTAATGTGGGAAATGTTTATTACAGCAATACTTTAATTAACAGCATTCCTTTTAATCATGGCAACATTACTCCACTACGCTCACCCAAAACATTGGTTCATCGTATTAACAAAAAGTTAAGATCAAATGCATGGATAAACTGATCCAAACACCGGTATGATGAAATGGTTTATTTTCTCAATAGCTGGCTAGGTTCCTGATATTCCATTAAGGATGCTACTGGCAGTTCGTTGGTTCATTGATTAGGTATTCTTACACTCTCTGAATGGCTCTGTTGGTTCTATATATTTGCTCCTCATTGTTTTCCAGATTTTGATAGGAAAAAAGATAGGAGCTCATGATACCAGAGTTAACTCAAACTCCAATAGGAAAACAGATTTTATTATGCAGAAAGCAACTGGATTACAATCAAGACCTCAAAACATAAAGAAAACGCAACACAACACAAATATCCAGCTAGGGTGAACAGTAGTGAGGTGGCTGGGAACAATGGATGGTAGGCTGAAAGGGTACAAGAGAGTAGCAGCAGGGAGCAGGAAGGTGCAGGGAGGGTGGTGACAGCAAGGGAAATGTTGCAGGGAGGCGGCGACTGTGCAAAAAAACAACATGAGCAATAGGATGTTGCAAGGAGGCGGCGACATAAGGAAACTTTGTTGGGAGGAACGGCTGCCAGCAGGCAAGAGAAAAGGGGAAGGGAATATGCGGAAGCAATCAACACCTTGGAGCGGGATAAGTTGGAGCGTCACCTGTCCTCGAATACAACCCTAGCAAGTGGAAAAGACGCCAATGGCAGCAAAAAAAAGGGGAAGGAAAAAATAACATATATATTGACGGGGGGATGTCTGCTGATTAGAAAAAATAACATATATATTGACGGGGGGATGTCTGCGGTTACTGTAGCTGCTATAGTAATCACAGAGCCTTCTTGCCTTTTTAGCTTTTCCTTCTCCTTCCCACTCCCTTCCAGCAAGAGTCTCCTCCCTATTCATTGCCTACCTTATCTACCACCTTCCACTTCTATCATATTTCAACTTTCTTCCTTTTTCATTCCACCCCCCTTCTCTTTAATTCTTGCCTAGTCTATCTCATAATCTCTCTTATTTATAGGTGTTGTTCTTTGAAAACCAGACAGTTTTTGAATTAGTGAAGAATTCTGAGTTCTGCCTTTGAGGCGTTCTACCCCTCCGGGGGTTGTACCCGACGACGAGAAAGTGCTCAGATTGTAACTCGTCCGAGGTGGTGATAGTCTCCAAAGATTCGAGTAGTGTTTCAGCTGTAGCTCGACCCCGAAGAAATATTTATCCTTCCACAACCCCCTCTAATCGCGCTTCTAGCAACTGCCAACCATTTCCAAGCCTTTGATCTGCTACCCATCCGCTGTCCACCACTTCCACTTGTTGTTGCCCACCTTCCTGCTCCCCAAAACTTGTTGTCCACTCCCTGTTTTCCTATGCTACCGCCCCTAAGTCTGTGTCCAGCTACTGCCATCACCCTCACAGCACTTCCTCGGATGTTGTACCCTCAATCCAGCCTTCTGTTGCGCCCGTATCCCCAAAACAATCCCTCAACCTGCAGCCCAGCCACCCACATTGCCATCCTAGGGTGTTTTCCATGTTTATATTGTTGTTATTCTCCTATTATCAATGGCTCCATGCAAATGATCCAAGTGGTCGTCCAAGTGTGATATGGGGAACCTGTATTTGATAGTGAACTTCTTGATGGTTCGACTGTCAAAACATATTCTCCACGATCCATCCTTCTTGGGTACCATCAAAGCGGGGAAAGCACACGGGCTAGTATTCTCTCTATCCAAACCTCTCGCAACGAGATCATGTACCTGTCGTTATAATTCCTCGTACTCTGCAGGAATTAATATGTAGGAAGGCTGATTTGGCAAAATTGATTCGAGGATTAGATTTATGGCATGTTGAATGTCCCTTAATGGCGGCCATCCATCTAGAAGGTTGTTGTTCATCACATTCTGAAAGTCACATAGCAGTGGTTGTATGAGCACCAATATCTCAACCTCCTCGATCCCCTCCAGTAAGACTAAATCCATTGCCACTGGAGCCTCTCATACCGACTGCATGAACGTGGATATTAGGACTATCGTCTCCTCTGTGATGTCCACTCTTAAGTTCTTAACAGGCAAAAGAACGATGTGTCCTCCATCCTTGAATGAATAAGAGTTTTTGAACCCATCGTGATGAGACTTGCTGTTGAACTATCATGGTCTCCCCAATAAAATATGGCAGACATCCATAAGTACAACATCGTGACACACCTGCTCCTGTAGCTAGTCTCCAATAGAAGACTCAGCCAAGCACTGTTGATCCACAAAAATCATTTCTCCTTTCAACTAGGTATGGGAGTAGGATTAAGGATGTTTTTGGCTAACCCTAATTTTTTCACCATCATAGTGGATATCGCATTCTCACAACTCTCACTGTCAGTAATCATGAAGCTGAACTTTTCAATTATGGTACAGTTGGTGCAAAAAATATTATGCCTTAGCCACGATTGCTCCTTCTCCAGGTTAGCTTGAAAAACCCTCCTTGTTACTAGCATTTCTCCCTCGTCTCCTTAGAGTTGCAGTTCCTTCGGATCCTCCTCTGCTTCCTCCTCCACTTCCTCAAAAACGCCCTGCTCTGTGAATGAAACAACTTGCTTCGTGGGACAGCTTGAGGCTAAGTGCTCGTAACCGTGACACCGAAACATTTTCTAACAGGTACTATACTGGGCAAATTACTCTTTTCAAGCTTTCTTTCCACTTAGATATATCTTGTCACTTCTTTTTCCGGTCTTCCCAACACTTCCAGGTGTTCCTTGGTATTTGCAGTTGTAGGTAGTTGTCTAAATGTGGGCGGTTGTCTGCTTTTTTTTTTTTGTCTTTCCACTTTCAAGAATGAAGTATGGACATCTCTCGGCGACTAACAGGACAATAGTTGCACAACATTGCTAATAGCTGACTTCAACCCCTCAGGTAGCGGGCTAAACTGTGTTGTGAACTATTCCACTGATAGGTCTCTCTGTTGTAGGTGAGGGAACCACATAAGCATATCCTGAGGGTAATGAGGTGGTAAGTATTTTCTATGCATCTCATTCCCCAGCTTCTCCCATCTAGTAATCTTGGCACTTTCTTCTCTCCTTCGTTGCCTCCGCAAATTTTCCCACCACAAAGTCCTCTTTTTTCAATTTGATGGCAGCAAGCTTCACCCTCTGGCCTTCTAGCACCTAATGATTCTCTTAATTGAATGCAACCATTCGATGAAATAATTTACATCCATAACTCCGGTAGATCTACCTAAATTTTGAAATCTTTGTCCTCCAAATATCGTCTCATCTCTCAACCTTCTCTGATAATGAATTATGAAGCTTC